TGCTGAACCAACAGGTTGCTGGTTTGATTCCCTGTCAAGGGCACGTGCCTGGGTTGTGGGCCAGGTCCCCAGTTGTGGGAATGCAAGAGGCAAGCACACATTGATGTTTCCCTCTTTCTCTTTCCCCCTCCCTCCCTGTCTCTAAAAAAAACAAATACATAAAATCTTTATTAAAAAAAAAAAAAGAACACCCCTGGCTGGTGTAGCTCAGTGGATTGAGCGCGGGCCTGTGAACCAAAGGATTATGGTTCGAGTCCCAGTTAGGGCACACGCCTGGGTTGCAGGCCAGTTTCCAGCAAGGGATGCACGAGAGGCAACCATACATTGATATTTCTCTCCCTCTCTCTTTCCCTTCCCCTCTAAAGATAAATAAAATCTTAAAAAAAAAAGAACATCAGCCAGATGCCCTTTCTGGCCAAGGTAAGGTCAAATCTGCTTCCTTTGGTCATGGGTAGAGAACCTTCCACTCAAACTTCCCATTGGAGGAGTCAAGGCCAGCGTTACTGAGATTGTGTAACTAAGGTTGCCACATTTAGCCAATAAAAATACAGGGCACCCAATGAAGTTGAAATTTCAAGTAAATAATGAATAACTGTTAGTATAACTATGCCCCACATATTATTATTCAAATTTAAAGTGATTAAAATGAAATGAAATGTAAAATGCAATTCCTGGGTTGCGCTAGCCATATCATCAAGCGCCACATGTGCCTCGCGGCTACTGTATTGGACTGTACAGATCAGTGCGGACTATAGAACATTTCCATCACCAGAGAAAGTCTGTCAGACAGTGCTGCTTAGCACAAACCAGGATGATGATTCTTTTTATCACCCAGCTAACAACTTCACCTGCTACAGGAGTGGTTCTCACCATTGAACATCTTTCGAGTATTTATTCAGTCGTTTAACACATTGGTGTATTGGGTAAAGAGAGGAGAATTCAGGAATACTGATTTAGTGAATAGAATAAACCACTGGACGGTGCACTTAAAAATGGGATAGTACAACAAATAGAATGAGCTAATGAGGGACGTAGACATGCATATTTTGAATTTTGACCTTAGACCTGTAAGGCACATTCATATGATCATTTCTTGATACATCAGGATATTTCTAGTTCTTCAAAACAAAAGTTAAAAGGGGAAAAAAATTTATCCAATTTGGTATTTCTTCTATGGGAATAAAATTATCCAAACCCACAGTGTGTTATTTCTGGAGAAGTACTTGCAAATAGCAGCCAGAAAGTGCTCTGTCTCTTCTTTTAGAAACAAAACATGAAAATTATAATAATAAAGTAATTGATTTTTTTTAAGTGCAAAATTTAAGAATTCCAAATATCAGGTCATGGAAGCACTTTGGAGGCTTGAAACACATAGTTAAATTTCAATCTACATATTAATACCGCATTTGGTCTCCAAATGCGGTATTAATATGTCATTTGAATTTGTAGATAAACCATGCTCTTTCTTGCGTACTTAATTTAAAATAAATTAAGCAGCATGCATCACTTGTTAAATGGGGAAGAGTCAAACTTTCTCTTTCTATATTATGAATACTATTAAAGAATATATTAAAATGGAAATTATAAGGCAATCTTTAATAGTATACTCATCTGAGTTCATTTTTTTAAATTTAAAATAGCTTCCCCTTATATGCCATACTAAAAAGAGGCACACAACGATTTAGCATTTCTGTGGGGATTGACAAGATTACAGCTTTCTGTGAATGCAGGTTATAAAGCATGGAGGCTGGCAGAGTGTGGGGTGGCTACCCTGGAGAGAGGGTAGCGATAGGTCGGTGTGCGTCTGCGTGTGTGTTTGTGTTAGTCGGGACTCCTGTGGCACACCATTTCTAGTGCATATCATAGAAATCCAATTCAAGCCACTTTAAGCAAAAAGAGGGATTTATTGCCTCAGGAAACTGACATGTTCTAAAGTAGAGCCTGTTGCAGGGACCCTAGGATGTCAAATGACATCATAAGGGCTCTCTGCCAGTCTCTGCTCTTAGCTCTGAGTTTCTGTGCTGGTCTCTTTATTTCCAGATATTCTTCTTGTAGTGGGGGGAGAGGGCAAAGCTCACAGCATCCCAGCTTAGTTTACCCCAGAGAAAAGAGAGCTTTTTTAGTCTATCAGCCACAGATAGATGGACAAATAGACAATAGGAAGGAAGCAAGAAAGGACAGGAGAGAGAGAGAGAGAAAAGATCAGGGAAGAATCCCTTTTAGCTCTATTTGGCTCATGTTCCCACCTCCAGTGACTGGGGAGATAGGGTATTATGACTGGTCAGACCTTAATGACAAGCCAACTTTGTTGTCAGAGGGGAGAGAACCACACAAAATGGGAGAATTTGTTTGCAGAAGAAGGAAGGTAGAGGTGTTGACAAAGACAAGCTACAGACAATGGCTCCCATGTATCTTTGTGTAATGCAGATGTCTTCAAGGCCTCCAGATCATAACCTGGAAAATAAGTTGAGCTCCTGAGGTGGAGAGTCTCCATTTGCCCCTCCAGATCCCATCTGGAGAGGGGCTGCTCCTGGTTAAGTCCAGCCAGTGCGGGCTCTGGCAAGAGATGAGACTGGAAGAGAGTGGTTGGGCTATTTGTTCCCCCAGCTCGCCCTCTGCCAGGCTGGACTGCACAGCAGCTGTTTTCTTCTAGCAAAGGCCAGGGCTACTACCAGCTTTGGTGACTGCTTCTACCCTGTGCCTCTTCAGGCCTGAATGTGAGGGGGCTTCCTCTGTCGCTTGCCCTGGGGCACCTCACTACCCCTTGCTGATTTCCTCAAACCCTGCTCTCATTTTGCACATCTTCATGAAATGATCACCAGTTCCACTAAAAAAAAAAAGATTTTACTTATTTTAGAGAGAGGGGAAGGGAGGGAGAGAACATCAATGTGTGGTAGCCTCTTGCGCTACCCCTACTGGGGACCTGGCCTGCAACCCAGGCATGTGCCCTGACTGGGAATCTAGCTGATGACCCTGTGATTCACAGGTCGGTGCTTAATCCACTGAGCCATACCAGGCAGAGCCAGTTCCTCTTTTGAGTGTGCTGTGTTGTTACTGCAGGGACCTGCCTGATACACTCGCCATCCTCCACACCATGGCAATTCCAGTCCCCCTGGATTCCCCTTCTAAATACAGGGTGGGGCAAAAGTAGAATGCCATATGAGAGTATGCAGAACACAGAGTTTATTCTTGTATGATGATTATTTATTGGTTATTATAGTATTCGTTTGTATTACAACTGTAAACCTATTTTTGCCCCACCCTGTATTTCTGAAAGACCCCTCTGCTGAAGGCCTATGTACCATTTACACACAGATGCATTCGGGCCAGGGCTGTCCCCCAGCCAGCCTGTGCCTGCAGAGCCTCATGGTCAGTGGGTTTTACTCTACAGCTTTCCTCCCAGCAGTGGACACAAGCCTGTGCTTTAGTTCCCCAAAGACAAACTCATAATATTTCACAAGCATTTGCTGAAGGTATAGGGAAAACCCCAAGAAATGACAAGCTAGAAAGGGAAAACAAAACTGAGGATGGAAGCTCTGGGCCCCTGACTCTCCTTAGCTGTGTAGTGGCCTTGGGAACCCTCTCTCCACCCTGCCTCCTCCCCACCCCCAACAAACCCCTTTTGCTAGGCCAGTTTGCACCTGGCAAGAGACTTGGTGCTAACTCCCCGGGGCTCTTAAGAAGTCACGTTAATAGGCGTGATCAGCATAAGTAAGTTCTTTGGAGGTGCAGATAAAGGTGGTGGATTGGCAAGAACTGACTACTCAAGTGTTAAGGAGTTTAATTGACTTTAAGAGAAGGGTCCACAAAACTACTGCTGAGTTTCCTGCCTAAAGGCAGAAAGCGCCCAACTGGTTAAAGAATGTCAGCTGTGTTGGTCCTAAAAAGACCATTTAAAATACGGGGTGGGGGTAGAGGGGGGAGTCTTGATCCCTGTGAGGCCCTGAAGATGGACACTGGCAAGGTCCACACCCCTCATTTTGTTTTTAACCAGAGATTTCAACATTGATGGGGGGGGGGAGGCGAGGGGAGTGTGCTGTGTGTAGTTTTGTGTTAAAACCCTTCACCGCATTCCCAATGTCCTGTGTGGACTGGGGACTCAGGGGAGGTGGGTGCTGGCAAACCAGATGAGATGTCCTCGAATGTGTTTGATGCACAGACAGTCCCTAGATGAAGAAGCAGGCCTGCAGCCCAAAGAATTTCAGCTGCTGCTGCTGCTCTCTGGGACCCAGGGAGGTGGGGGAAGAGGTTACCTTCACTGCCATCCTCCAGCCCACACCCAGGCAGCATATTAGCATCCTCGTAAGTTAGGGTAGACACATTATAGGAGTAATGTACAGGGGTTTATAGAAGCCGGCAAAAGAGAACTCATTTTATTTAGTCTGTAAGAGAGAAACCAGTGATGCTAGCCTCGGAAGTGACACTCACCATCCCCTGGGACTTCCTGCGATGACAGAAATGTCCTGTCTGTGCTGCTCCATTATGGTAGCCACAAGCCACCTGTGGCTATTGAGCACTGGAAATGTGGCTAGTGGGACTGGAACTGAATTTTAATTTAATTTAATTTGACTCCACTTTATTTTATTGTTTTAAAGATTCGTTTTACTTTCAATAGCCACAGGTGGCTAGAAGCTACCACACTGGACAACACAGCCAAGTGTGCAAGATATGTCTTGATGTACAGCAGAGGACCTGGGGATTTATATAAGCTTGGGTGTTATTCATATTCATGAAATGAGTCCAATGTACATACAACTTCATGGGATAGTATTTAAGATTTAGACAACCTACTGCTCATGGCATGTAAGGGTGATGGACCAGGAAGAAGAGAGCAAAGCCTGGGCCTGTAGCCAGAGGAGGTGGTTGAAGAAAGATGAGCAAGGACTGGGCAGGAGAGAATTGATGAAGAACACCATACATCAATATACCAGGACACATAGGGCATGCGCTGGCCTAGAGTCTGCTTGTGTGCAGCTAGAGGGCAAGCTTTGTCCCACCAGGTACTCGGTCCCTCGGCTGCAGGCTCTGATGCCTTCAGTCGTCCTGCTCAGCCTGCCGGGATTTCTGGGGCAATTGCAGCTAAGGGATTGTACAAGGTCCACCACTTCCGGTTCATGACATTCCAGAGGACTTGTGCTGCTGGTGCTCAGGAATTAGTGTCCCAAGGTAAGGAGGAAGCAAGAGCTTGCACCCACCCTCGTACATTTTCTGCTTGCTCCACTGCCGGATCTCCATGCCTGGTCTCTGTAAATGCTCCCTTCCCCCAGACTGAGCCCAGACAGGGAACTGAGACACAAACAGCAAGTCTAGCACTTCTTCTTGAACTGCCTTTTCTGTCCTTTCCTTCGTAGTTTCGTTTCTGGCCTTCATCATTTGCCACTGTCCTTTTTGTGTCCTGTTCATACCTTACACTGCTGATGAAGGTATGAGAAGAGCCAATACACTAATCCTAATTATCATCAGTGAAGTAGCAGGGGAGTGGTGGGAGACAGGAAAAAAAAATGACAAGGACAATTTGACCTAGCCAAGAAAGGGACCCCCCGGGCAAGTTGGCAGAGTTTAAGAAAAAAGATTTTTAAAATTTTACAAAAAAAATCTGGGTATGAGCTCATGGCCAGAGAGTCCAAAAGATAGAAACGAATAAGGAAAAATAGTTGTTGAAAAGCTGTTCATGCCTTGGCCTGTGTGGCTTGGTGGGTTGGGCATCATCCGCAAATCGAAGGGTCTCCAGTTCAATTCCCATCAGGCCACATGCCTGGGTTGTGGGTTTCGTACCCCGGCACACATATGGAAGACAGACAGTCAATGTTTCTCTCTCACATCACTGTTTCTTGCCCTATCTTTCACCCTCTCTTCTTCTCTCTCTAAAGTCAAAAATAAAATAAAATATTTTTAAAAACCTGTTCATACTGTATAACCACAAAGGAAGCCAGAGAAAGGAGAAAATAGGGCAGAGCTAAGGAAGCCACTGGGGATGCAGAAAGGGCTCTTTAGTAGCTTTGGCTTTAAAGAGCTATGCACAAAACCAGAAACCTGGCATCATTAAAAGATAAACACCAAGCCTGTCATACATGTCTCAGAATTGAAATCAAAAGGCAAAAATAAGGTCAGATTTGAGAACAATACTAATGATAGCAATAAAAGAGCTTTTATGCTGTATTTGAACCAGAAATGAAATAAAGGAAGGATAGGTCTGCTCAGGGTCAGTGGAGCAATATGGACAAATGTCAGGGAGAAAAAGCGCACAATCTTTTATTCGTTTTCCCCTTTTCATTGTTGTTTACTAAGGAGAGTGCTCATTTAACTGGAAAAGGTGGCCCCGACCAGTGTGGCTTAGTGGGTTGGACATCATCTTGCAAACCGAAAGGTCGCAGGTTTGATTCCGTCAGGGCACACGCCTGGTCAGTTTCATTCCCTGGTCAGGGTGCATGTGACAGGCAACTGATTCATGTTTCTCTCCCTCTCTTTTTCCCTGCCTTCCCCTCTCTCTAAAAGTAAATAAATCAAATCTTAAAAAAATTAACTGGAAAACTGTACTTGAAAAATAACTAAATAAAATTAAAAAAAATTAACTGGGAAGGGTGAAAGACTCTTAATGAAACTGGAGGTAGATGCAGAAATAGAAAAGAAAAAGAGTCCCTGGATGTTTTGACCAAGTTCAGGCCACGTTCTGTAGGTGGAAGGGGCTGTCATGGTGGGTAGTGCATTCAGTTTTGTATGTCCACTTTCGAAGGAAGTGCCGACTCAAAAAAAAAAAAAAAAGGGAGAGGATACCTGAGAAATGGAAGATCTGGAAATTATGGCAATTGAAAGCTGTAGATGCTGCATGGCTTTAGCTGAGGGAAAAGGAATATTTGGTAGGTGGACATCCAAGCTAGCACTACTATATGGGTGAAGGAACACCATTTGGAAAAGGAGATTACCCTTTGCTGGGATAGAGAGTGGGACTAAGCCCTATGGGTTCACATCCCGGAGAAACACAGTCCAATTCAATATTGACACTTCCAAATGCTTAGAAGCAATTACCAACTGCCTCAGAGTAGTGATGTCTCCATAGCAGTAAAGTCCAAATTGAGAGGAACCGAATTTGTCAAGGCCGTTGTAGACAGAATTTTCTTACAGGTTAGGTTAGGATCTCAAGCATTAGTTCTTAGCCCATTTTAGGCCACAGACTTTTTTGAGAATCTGATAAAAAAAAACATGGATCCTCTCTATTAAAATACGCGGATGTGCCACCCATACTTCTTTTTCTATTCAATTTCAAGGAGTTCAGTTTCCCTAAAGCAGGATCATGGTTCCTAGGTTAAGAAGGCCACGGCTAAAGGGATTGCTACATTTTGTCCTAAAATGTAGCAATTCTAACTCCTTTCCCTAAAAATTGCATTTTTATGAGTCTATCCTCAGTGGTCTTTTGTAAACATTTTCATGGCTGGATAAAAAAAAAAAAAAGATGAGGTGTGCTAATTAATGAAACCAGCTGTGTGTTCAGGCTGACCCAACACTTTCAATGTCCTAATGTATGATTTCCACCTTGTAGAAGCACTTTCTCTCAACACCTGTGTGTTTGACACTTGCTGCTCACGATCCAATGCCAAATCCCAAAGGGTCAGGTTTCTAAATCCTGAAAGGACTGATGCCAAGTCGTTTGCTTCTTGCTTCCAGCTTTGTTTGCTTGAGGTGGAAGCCATGTTGTAATACACAGAAGCACCACCAGATGGCACCCTTGGGAAAGTCTTGCTTTCGGAGTTGGCTTCCCAGCTCTGACGTGTACTCTAAACATAGCGTGGTAAAATGCTTGTGGAAGAATGAAGAGAATCTATTATGGGGGAGGAAAAATAGCAATGACAAGACAGCCCTGGCCCTTTCCTGGATTTTGGTATACAGAGTCAATCCTTGATTACTTTCTTCTTCTTCTTGTCAGCTTTTGGAGGCAGATGCATAGATTTATATTATACGTAAGCATTTCTTTCATCCACATACATATACACATATATTTTCTGCCTCCGCTGATGCTCTGTGTGATTTTGAAGCTGCTCATGATTTGGTGAGAGGGCCTGTTTTTCTTTTGGATGGTAAGCTTGCACATTCATTCTTTTATTGTGTCTGTCCCCTACTTGACTTCCAGTAAGAATACTGGGTTTGCACATAAACATCATAAAAGGCTTCTCTGGGAAGGAAAAAAGTTAGATCAGCTCTCTGTGCTGTAAACATTAGGCCAACTGGAAAGAATATCGGAGGGAAAGGAGAGGGCAGACGTGGCTGAGATGGAAAGCAGAATTACATCAGAAATTGACGTGTCCTATCCTCTCTTGCTCTTTCCAATTTTTTCTTAAAAAAAGAAAAAATCTTGCCCTGGCTGCTGTAGCTCAGTGGACTGAGCACAGGCCTGCAAATCAAAAGGTCACTGGTTTGATTCCCAGTGAGGGCACATGCCTGAGTTGTGGGCCAGTCCCCAATTGGGGACCTGTGTGAGGCAACCAATAGATATTTCTCTCCCTCTCTTTCTTCCTCCCTTCTCCTCTCTAAAAAATAAATAAAAATTAAAAAAAAGAAAATAAAGTTACACATTAAAAAAACCTTATTAACCTTAAAAAATAAAAAAAAAACCAGTTTCTTCAAAAACTTACGTTCATGGTACATTAAGCCTTATGTTTCCATTTCTCATTTTACAGCTTGGGAAGGCACTTGCTAAGCTTAAGAGAGGAGCCAGTGTTGATTAGACTCAGTTATCTGTGTTGAGAAAGAACCTCCTCATTGGTTTGTGGTCTTTGGCAGGTAGTTAGCAGAAATAAGCTCAGAACAGATGCCACACTTCTTTGGGGGCATGGCTCTGGCCAGCTCGCTTTTCATTTTTGTACATGCAAATGGATAATCAGCACTTTAGTGAACCGCATACTGCATGGAAAAAATGTTTGAGATCACCCGATAAAGGAAAGTGGCCTTTCTAAGATTTGTGGAAAGAGGTAGTGCAGAACCCCACCCAATTCAAAGTGGATAATTCTTTTCTTCCTATGTTTATTTCAAAGATAGTTCTGCCAGAAAACAGCATTTCAGATCAAAGACATGTGAAACAGAAATCCAAAGTGGGGGAATCAGTCCTAATGTCACTGAGAGGCCATTGTCCTAAACCTGGCTCTGTGCTGGGTGTCCTGGGCAATGAAGAGGTTAAAGAGACACTGTTCTGGCCCTGGCCAGGGTGCTCAGTTGGTGGGAGTGTCGTCCTGATATGCCAAGGTTGCAGGTTCGATTCCTGGTCAGGACACGTACTAGAATCAACCAATGAATGCATAAGTAAGTGGAATAACAAATCAATCCATCTTTCTCTCTCTTCCTCCCTCTCTCTCTCTTCCTCTCTCTCTCCCTTCCTCCCTCTTTCCTTCCCCATCTAAAGTCAATAAATATAAAAAATAAAAGAGACACTGTTCCTCTCCTCCAGGAGCTTCCAACCTAGTGGGAAAGACAAACATACAGAGACCCCATGTTATGCCTGGAATTAGAGTTCAGTGCCAAGAGCAAAATAAAGTCAAAGTACAGCTCTGCTCGGCTGGGCAGGGCTGCAGCAACTGAAAATCTGCTAAAACACAGACTGTTAGCAAAGTCAAATTATCCTTTGTCCTTGAAATGTAAGTAACTGGCTGGATGTGGGCCATTTTTCTTCTTTTTAATACTTGTCCTTTGTAAAATTTCTAAAATAAGCATGTTTAGTTTTTTCTTTTCTTGCCTTCATAAAAGAAAGTGGGAGTCTGAAAAGGCAAATGTATACTTTTTTTTTGCAATATTCATACTACTGTGAACAAAAGCAAACACTTATTTTGTGGTTACTGTGGTGCCAGGTACTGTTCTGAGTGCTTTCACGTATTAACTCATTAAATCTTCCCAGCCATCCCATGAGAGGTACTATTATTGAACCCATTTTATAGAGAAAGCAATTGAGGCACAGAGGAGTTCAGTGACTTGCCAGGGTTTCACCAGGAGTGAGCAGGCTAGCTCCAGAATTTGAGCTGCTTTATTTAGCGAAAATTATAAAGGAAGACATTTTCCTCCTAAATGAATTTCCCAGTTAATTGAAGCTTGTCATCCTGTCTCAGGTTTGGGCTGGGAAATGACACATTCCTGGAGCAGGATGGTGTAGGAAGGGAAATGCTGGGATTGGAAGTCAGGCCCAAATGGCTCTGTTATTTGGACAACCCTCCAAGTGTAGACCAAAGAATTTCCAGCTGGCTAGACTAGCCTGGCCTAAAGGGTTCTGGGAAATAGCAAGTCCTTCTCTAAAAAAGCTGTTGACCCTGAGAGGAAACAAGGGGAAGGAGTTCGGGCAGGTGAACAAAATCCCTGAGAAAAGGATTGGGAGTTTGGGTTAGGGTTGGGGGTTAGGGCTAGGGGTTAGATTTACATGTTAGAATTGAGGTTAGAAGGTTGCAGATAGAGTTGATGGTAGAGTTAGATGTTCAGATTAGGATTAAGGGTTGGAGTAACCACTATTTAAGGTTTCCCTTAGTGTTAGAGGTTTCGATTAAGCTTAGCTGTTAGAAATTAGAGTTAGGTTTAGGGTTAAAGGTTAGAGATTAGGATTAGGGATTATGGTTTGAGGCTAAAAGCTCTTGGCACTTGCTGGGGTCCGGGAACCTGAGGAGATGTTTTTCAAGAACAAAGCCAGACCTCAGACAAGGAAGACCTCAGGATTACATCCCCAATCAGGTCTAAATAGAAACAGAACAGGATCGAAGAAGACTCCCCATGATGGGAGCAGGGCTTGTCTGTGCGGAGCAAGCCATGAGTGGCTGGGGCCCTGGGTACCAGGAGAAGTCCAGGGCCCACCCCCAGGCTGCACTCACAGTCAGGTGATCCGCTGCAATGGCCACCTCCTTAGGATGGACCCTGGGAACTAAGGTCAGGGTTGAAGTTCAGGGGGTGGTCTAGCATTCAGTGTCAGTTTGCACAATTTAATTTTTAACCATGACTGTTTAACAACTGGCTTGCCCAATTCCTGAAAATTTACCAATTGGCTCTTGCCAGCTGGTTCAAATCTGTTGGTCATACCACTGGTCTGATTCCATATTCAGTCTTTTTTATAGCCACCACAGCTGTCTCTACATCATGGAAGCTTCCAGATACTTATGGATATCCAGAAGGAAATTGGGTTCTTAGATGTCCCCCATTGAGAAGGGAAACAGCTAGAAGTTTCTCATTCATAACCTTCCAGTTATGGGCATTTGTAGAAACAGCTGTCCTATAGGTTAGTATTTGAAACAGACTCTTAGATACAGAGAACAGGTTGATGATGGTGGCCAGACAGAAAGGATGTTGGGGGGGACAGGGTGAAAAAGGTGAAGAGATTAAGAACCACAAATTGGTAGTTACAAAGCAGTCGCAGGGATGTAAAGTACAGCATAGGGAATATGGTCTGGCAACCACCAGTCTATTCGCTGTATCTATGAGTCTGTTTCAATTTTGTTTGTTCAATCATTTTGTTATTTAGATTCTCTTGATAAGTGAAGTCATATGGCATTTGTCTTTCTCAGACTGATTATTTCACTGAGCATAATATACTCTATTTCCACCTATACTGTTGCAAGTCATTAAGATTTCATTCTCCTTGGCTGGTGTAGCTCAGTGGATTGAGTGCGGGTTTGTGAACCAAAGGATCATGGTTCGATTCCCAGTCAGGGCACACGCCTGGGTTGCAGGCTGGTTCCTGGCAGGGGATGCACGAAAGGCAACCATACATTGATATTTCTCTCCCTCTCTCCTTCCCTTCTCCTCTAAAGATAAATAAAATCTTTAAAAAAAAGATTTCGCCCTGGCTGGTGTGGCTCAGTGGTTGAGTGCTGGCCTATGAACCAAAGGGTCACTGGTTTGAATCCCAGTCAGGGCACATGTCTGGGTTGCAGGCCAGCTCCCCAGTAGGGGGCACATGAGAGGCAATCACACATTGAGGTTCCTCTCTAAAAAATAAATAAATAAAAAAATTTTTTTAAAAGATTTCATTCTCTTTTATGGCTCAGTAATCATCTCATTGTATAAGTGTAGCACAGTTTTCTCATCCACCCGTCTACTGGTGGGCTCTTGGGCTGCTTCCATAGCTTAGCTATGGTAAAAATAACATTGCAATGAACATAGGGGTGCATATATTTTTTTTGAATCAGTGTTTCAGATTTCTTCAGATATATACCCAGAAGTGGAATCACTGGGTCATAAGGGAGTTCTGCTTTTAATTTTCTGAGGGCCCCCACACTGTTTTTCATAGTGACCACACCAATCAGCATTCCCACCAACAGTCTGAGTTCTCTTTTCGACTAGGTCTTGACCTTATGCCCAGTCTTTGGTTTGGTTATTCCAGTTTAGCAAAAATCCTGCTGAATCAGTTTAGTGAAAATTCCCAACCTTGATATGTGATCATCCTTGATATCTGAATAAAGTTCTCGATCCCACTGCCAATATATTTTTTATCACCCTGGCCTGCCTTCAGCAAGAATCCTGTTGAATCTGTCAGCCTAGCAAGGATCCCACTAGTCTGATGTTCCCTCATAGTCATTTCCCCTGGCTGCGCCATGGCTATAAATCTCCACTTGTCCTTGTTGTATTCGGAGTTGAGCCTGATCTCTGTTTTTTACTGCGATACTGCCATTGGAATAGTTTCCATCTTGAATAGTCTTCCATACCATCTTCAACACGTGTCTGAATGATTTTTTTCTTTCACAGAGACGAGGGTGCAGGGTAGCACAACACACACACACGATGTAGTGGGCACACACAGGTTTGGTAGACCTGGGTTTGAAATTCATACCTTGTGCTGACTAATCATGTGAATTTGGGGAAGCTTCTCTGACTTTTGGTTCTCTCAGTACCCAAGTGGAGAGAATTCTACATACCTCACAGAATGTTGTGTAGTTTAGATGATCAAGGCTGTGAACCTCTCCGATGATGCCTGTCACATAGAAGGTACTTGATAAATATTTTTGGTTGGAAGGCAATGTTACTATAATATCATGTATCAAAGTGTCACAATATCATATCTGGGATACATTTTAAAATTTAGATAGTAACTTCAAAGCCTGTAGAGATGCATTAGACTCTAAGCTGTTTTTCTGGGAAATGCCCATTGTTTTCCAGGAAAGTCTGAGCTGTCAGCCAGTGTCAAAATGGCCTTGAACTGCACTGTGGAAAACTCAGAACTGGTTCCTCTGCATCTGGAGGCCATCCAAGGGTCTCTTCATACCTAACCTGATTCTCAGCCTCTGCTCTTTCTTCATGCCCACAGCTGGGTGGTTATGTGACTCCACCCAAACTACACACACCTCTCCCTCATAGGGCTACGTCTTCTCCAAAATGCAATGCATTCTTTACCAAGGCCCAGGCAAGGAATTCCTTGGTGGGAGGAGGTGATAGCCTTTAAGGCTTAGGGTAGCCCCTCACGACCAAGCCTGGCATAAACCCCCCTTCCACTGCCTTTAGGGATAATCATACCTTATTAAAATACATTGACAGTTGCTCCAAAGCCAGGGAAATTTGAAACAATCCTGGTCTCTGCAACCTCAACTTGCAATTTGACTCCATGAACACTTACAGGAACTCTTCAAAGACAGAATTGGAGAGTCAAAAAGAAACATAGGAGTGAGAATGATTGGACTACTGAATGAAGGAAGGTCATTGGACTTTTCAGAGGTGGTAAACCCAGTGGCTGGGGAAAAAACTGGTGAAAAATATTCCACGAATCTCCCCACCTTGGTATTTCTACCTGACCCCTACCTCTATCCCACCCTTCCACTAGAAAAAGAGAGAAGGGTTGTTATTTGGTACCTAGTAAATTTTCCTTCTTATTTCTTTTTCAGCAAACTCATGATATATAGAGTTTGAATGTTGTTGGCAGACAGATGGGAAAATTAGCGTAAGAAGGCCAAGGGCCTTCTGGAAGGGAAAGCACTCTCAGCACCAAACTTTCTCCCTGAGATTTAGAGGTGAAATCTCTTAAAATGGACTTAGGTGACACAGGGCAAACATCAGAGGTAGGGAATGGCAACAAGGGTCCTGCAGTGCAGTTACTATGTAGGACTGGGTGAGACGAGCAGTGGGCTGGCTGCAGCTGTGAATCAGAAAGGTATTCCTGCCCTGGCTGGTGTAGCTCAGTGGATTGAGCGCGGGCCTGTGAACCACACAATCGCGGTTCAATTCCCAACCAGGGCACATGTCTGGGTTGCAGGCCAGTTCCCAGCACGGGACTCATGAGAGGCAACCATACATTGATATTTCTCTCCCTCTCTCCTTCCCTTCCTCTCTAAAGATAAATAAATAAAATCTTAAAAAAAAAAAGAAAGGTATTCCTAAGTCTGAAGTGTGGAACATCAGTGAACTTGTCCCAGTGCAGTCCTCCTGGGGACTGGCATAACCTGGTAAAGTGGCCATGTGCATGGCTCCAAAAAGCCCTAGTCACTGAACTTGTTCTTTCTCACATTGTGTGACTTCTTGGTCTACACCTTATTTTAGCAGCTGTAGTGGGGACAAGTGATCTCATCAGCTGCAATGTTCTCCTGGTCTGGTGACCAGTTGGTGGTGATTGCAGTGTTCTCCAGGGTCAAGAGAGTGCTATGTGTTCTGATTCCCATAACTACAGGCAGGAATTTTCAGGCCGAACTGAAAATTATGTGGAATTCTTATAAGGTCATGACAAGAGAATGGGAATAGGTGGATTTCCATAAGTCTGGGCAGGTAAGGGCTTAAAGATGGCATTCTGAGCAATACTGGGTGAGGAAGGGAACTCAGATGAATTAGAAACCAAAACCATACCCCAGATGCAGAGTAAGTATGCTTGGGTATACAAACATCTTTTCAAGACCCTGCTTTCAATTCTTTTGGATATATACCCTGAGATGAAATTGCTGGTAATATTTTTAACTTTTTGAAGAATCTCCATACTCTTTTCCATAGCAGTTGCACCATTTACAATCCCAGTGACAGTGTACCAGGGTTTCAACTTCTCTACATCCTTGCCAACACTTATCTTTTTCTTTTTGAGAGTGGCCATCTTAATAGGTGTGAGGTAATATCTCATTGTGGTTTTCATTTGCTTTATCTGCTGATTTGTGATTTTGAGCATCTTTTCATATGCTTGTTGGCTATTTGTATATCACCTTTAGAAAAATGACTATTCAAGCCTTTTGCTCATTTTTTAAAAATATTTTATTTATTTATTTTTAGACAGAGGGCAGAGGAAGGAGAAAGAAAGGGAGAGAAAGATCAACATGTGGTCATCTCTCACGTACCTCCTACTGGGGACCTGGCCCATAACCCAGGCATGTGCCCTGACAGGGAATCGAACCAGCAACTCTTTGGTTCACAGACTGGTGCTCAATCAACTAAGCCACAGTAGCCAGGGCGTTTTGCCCATTTTTAAAGCAGGTCATTTGATTTTTGTGGATTTCGAGTTATAGGAGTTATTTATATATTCTGGATATTAACCCCTTATCAGATATATGACTTGCAAACACATGTATATCCTCCCATTCCTTAGGTTGCCTTTTTACTCTAGGTTGGTTGTGTCCTTTGATGCACAAAATCTCTTAAGTTTGATATAGTCCCATTTGCCTATTTTTTCTTTTGTTGCCTGTGCTTTTGGTGTCATATCCAAAAATTATAGCCAAATCCAATATCAGGAAGCTTTCCCTCTATGTTTTATATGAGTTTTATGATTTGGGGTTTACATTTAAAGTCTTAGTCAATTTTGAGTTAGTTTTTGTATATGGTATAAGATAAGGGTCCCATTTCACTATTTTGCAGGTGCATATTCTCATTTTCCCACACCATTTGTTGAAGAGACTATCCTTTCTCTGTGGAGTGGTCTTGGCACCCTTGTCAAAGATCATTTGACTATATATGTAAGGGTTCATTTCTGTGCTATTCTATTCCATTGGTCTATGTGTCTGTCTTTATGCTAGACCTCGCTGTTTTGATAACTTTAGTTTGTAATATGTTTTGAAATCAGGGAGTGTGACTCCTTCAAATTTGTTCTTTTGCAAAGTTGTTTGGATTATTTGAGGTCCCTTGAGCTTCCATATGAATTTTAAGATTTTTTTCTATTCAAAAGAAATGTCATTGGGATTTTGGTAGGCATGGCATTGACTCTCTAGATCACTTTGGGTAGTACTGATGTCTTAATAATATTAAGTCTTGCAATCCATGAACACAGAATGTCTTTCAATTTATTTGTAACTTCTCTAATTTCCTTCCACAGTGGTATGCATAGTTTTCAGTGTATAACTAAGTCTTTCACATCTTTCATTACGTATGTTCCTAAGTATTTTATTTATTTATTTATCTTTAGAGGGGAAGGGAAGGAGAGAGGGAGAGAAACATCAATTTATGGTTGCCTTTCGTGCGTCCCCTGCTGGGAACTGGCTGCAGGGAACTGGTCTGCAACCCAGGCATGTGCCCTGACTGGGAATCGAACCGTGATTGTCTGGTTCGCAGGCCTGCGCTCAATCCACTGAGCTACACCAGCCAGGGCATTTTATTTCTATTGGTACTGTTGTAAATAGAATTGTTTTCTTACTCTCCTTTTCAGAATGTTAGTGTACAGAAGTGTAACTGTTTTTTATGTGTTAATTTTGTATCCTGAAACTTTGCTGAATTTTTTATTAGTTCTAACAAGTTTTTTTTTTGTAGAATATTTAGGGGTTTGAAGTATAGCTTTTAAAAGGGGCAGCCTCAACATAAGAACAAAATACTAATGTATGACTGAAATTATGAGTTTTTAAATAGTTCTTGTGAAAGTAAGTTGGAACTTAACTCAAGAGGGAGTTTGTCCAAATTCCAGTAAACGTGAAATTTATGGCACCATTTATTTTCCTCCTGAGGTAAAAAAAAGAGTGGAGTAATTGTATAATAGTTACCATTGTCCATTACATAATGGAAAGAAGTGGTCAGACTTTATCAATTAAGTCAGTAATACTATTCATGCATGTGACATTTTTGTTTGCAATGACATTTTAATTTCATTATCCTCGTATGGAGATTTCTGTTAACCATAAATAGTTTTCATCATGCCAGTGCAGAATATAAAACACTGTGTTATGGCTTGTGAATATTTTTCATTCCAGTGAGTATATCGTACATGGTATTTCGGCCTCACAATTAGAAAGTTCACAGTAGAAAGAGGTGGTAGCACTAGTAAAAGAAAAGCTCTGACTTTGAGATTCATCTGAGAGGTTAGTGCCAGGCATCTTCTAATGAGGCTCCTAAGACATACCATGGCAGAAACAGCCAAGAAATGTATTGGCAAAGTCTCATCACAAAGTAGGAATATTTATTTCAATAGATTTCTTGCCTATGAACATTCTTCAGTTTAGAGATTGTTGGAGTTCTGGGAGGTAAATGCACACATGGAAGAACCAAAAACATTCTTATTTTGCTACTTCTACTTAAAAGAAATATTGTGAGACATTGATTGTGAACCTTTTGGAAATTCTGGCAAGACCATTGGGTTAATTCTGAATATAAAGTAAGGCAAAAGTATGTTTGCAGTTGTGAGTATGCAAAACACAGAGCTTATTCTTGTATTATTATCTATTAATTATTGTATTATTTTCCATACAAAAAACTGTAAACCTACTTTTGCCCCCCCCCGTATATTCTGTTGTGAATCCATCAGTTTTCATTTACCAACATCAGAATTCACTCTCACCAGTTTAAAGAGTTTATTCAAAATACTAGATAATTTTCAGAGCCTTGGGGAGGGCCTGAGAGCCAGACTTAAGGCTATATAGCTAGAGAAACAGACAAAGCTCCCAATAGCTCCAGGTGACTGACTGCTCCAGAGGAACTTCCCAGACTCATTATGTATAACCCTCTAGACACACCATTCAGCTCTGAGTCCATGACACCCATTTCAATATATCATCATTTAAGGAAACAAATGAATTTGGATTTTATTTTATTTTATTTTAATTTTTTTCCAGTTTGTAGATTTTTATTCTTTTAATATATTTTATTGATTATGCCATTACAGTTTTTCTATTCCCCCCTTCATTCCCCTCCACCCTGCACATCCCCTCCCCCACCGTTCCCCCCCTTTAGTTTATGACCACGTGTCTCAAGTATAAAACCTTATGACAGTCTTTAATGTGTAATAGACTATGAGATTTCCTTACTGATTGAGTCAGGCCTACCAAGATAATATGACCTATGCGAGGTCTTTTGACTCTCAGACCAGTATAGAGCATGAGGGTGG